GGTACCATTGAAGGTCGCTGTTGTAATGTCTGAAGGAACCACTTGCCAGGTCATATTATAGGGAGAAAACTTGTAATAAAGCCTAGGGGTTATTATTAAAGTACACTTGATACAAAATTGGATGAGTTGCCATGTCAATCCTTGGAGTGCTCTGGCAAAAAGAATCCTGGTAATGACAGGTCAAGAAGTTAAATGAGGGGCTTGAGTGCCATTTTTGCTAGTTCTCAGACCCCTGCATAGGGCAGAAAAGCACCTATGACCATTAGAGGTTGTGGAAGGACATGACTATTAGTCCAAGCAGGGTAGTCTGCTCTATGGGGAAATAAGTTTGGGGCATTTTAAGCATCAGTATCAGGGATTATGCCCCTGGGCTAGAAGACTGCAGGAGGGTGCCTCATTAAAAATCACATAAGGTCCCAAAAACTGTAGTGACTGTTCAAAGCAGTTGAAATGAAAAAAATCACTAAAAATTGAACCATAAGCAGTGAATACACAGAAGTAAGTAATGAGAAAGCACAATAGAAAAATGAAAGTGCAAAGAAATGTTAAAGACAGTGGTCAAAATAGGTAGTGAAAGTGTAGAATGTTCAAACCATGAGCTGAGGTCACTAGTGGCCATCATGGAGCTAAACTGTGGTCCTCTAAGGTGGCTGTGTTAAGAAAATGCATGTGTGTCTGTGAAATACCTGAATCAGAGGACAGCAACAGACTCCCTTGCAACACCAGATTCAGTTTTTTTAGCAATTTGAAGTGCTCTTAACAGAGGCTGTACTTAGTTAGCCTAAGTTACAACTGCTAGCTGATTATAATACCAAGAGCTTACAGATATGAATTAAGGTAGAAAATAGGGCAGGGTAGCACCATTGAGTGTGTACACATGTCTAAGTTCACTTAAAATAAGGTGACTTAACTAAGTCAACTTAAGGTAAGCCATGTTGGAGTATACACACATACAGCTCCTTGACATGGTGGCAGCCGTCTTGTGAGCCCTCCCCTTAGCTAATGTGACTCAAGATAATACACCTCAGAGGTGCATTAGCTTGAGGTGCATTTAAGTTGACTCTGCTCCACTTATGTGTGTACGTTCTGAGAGTCAACTTTAAAAAGTTAAGTTGACTTAACTGTCAGAAAGTTAGTATGTGTGTATGTACTGTTCGAGACTAACTCATTCAGAAAGGCATAAGCTCCTAGGTTCCAGCCTACTTTGTCAAATGCTGTTAATGGACTTGCACAGAGAAGGGGCACGAAACAAAAAAGAATAAAGTGCAGTAATTTAAATATAACGGGTAGGGAAAACAGGAGGGAAGGCTATGATGAGGGGGCGCTGCTGAAAGAGGCAAAGAAGGGTATTGTATGAAGTTGCTAACCTGGTGTTCTGAACAGTGTCTTGGATTCATCAAAAAGGAGACAAGCAATTCCTTAACTCCTTTTAGAAAAATAAAGCAAGCCAGCTTATTTTGCTTCAGTAACAGAAACAAAGTATAACTGTGGGCCCTTAACTTTTTTGAATTAAGTTCAGTTCTTAATCCCCCATGGGCTGTTATGCATGGGCAATTGGTGCCTCTGGAGTCTGGGGTGGGGCACCAGCAGCTGATTGCCAACTGGTGAGGGGGATACCCTAGCAGCCGATCACTGACCCCGAAAGTGCTGGCGGAAAAACCGGAAGTGCCAGTGATGCTTCTCTTAGTGTCACTGGCGCTTCTCTCGGTGTCACCACTCACTGGCTGGGGGCAAACTCGCTGGTGCCAACCTCGGGGGGGGCCCCAGCCAGTGCTTCACTCGGTGCCCCTACTCCCCAGCTGGCAAGGGCCCATCTCAGGGGCCCCGAACCCTCCCTATGCATTGCTATTCTATTATGTACCTGGATGGCTGGGAGCATTGGGTAGTGCCTGGTTCATCTGCAGGTCAGAGCTAGCCAGTCGTCCTGAGCTGGCAGGCACTATCAAGTTGTGCCAGGAGGTGGGGTGCAGCGCGGAACAATAGGTAGGCCTCAATGCTGCCTTGCAGGGGAAAGGAGCTTGACTTAGTTCCATGGGGAAAGGGGGTGTGCTCTGGCTTCAACCTGATGTGGGGGGTGGGGGTGCGGATTGGATGGTTAAGAAGTGTGACCTGGCTCTGATTTGCCACATAGGCTTGGGGTTTTGGACTCTAACAGGCAGGTAGGTGGCCATATTAATAGCCACTGCTGCCCTGCCATCAAATTTCCGGATCTGTTGGGAGCCCCATGGGCCAGATATGATGGCTCTGTGGGCTGAATCTGGCCTGTGGGCCAGAGGTTGAGCACCCCTGGCCTAAACCACTAGGAAATAAGGATGTAACTAGAAAAACAACTCAATGAAGAACACAGCAAGAAGTTATATAATTTTTCCTTTCTTTTTAACATCTTCCAGTGTCTTACACTTCCTAGACCCTAAGGCTAAGTACAGACATTAAAAAAAATGCAGGTGGAATTGATCTATTATGTCGTTTGCCTGCTGCATCTCCTGCCGCTATGCCAAGCTGATGTGTTGCCTCATGGTGTCTGACAACACCCCCGGGCTTAGATGGTTAACATTGTATTTTCTGTAACCTCGTTGCGTTCCCCTCCTCACCCCCATCCCTCTAATGTTAGTCTCTCGCTCGGGCGATTTGTATTTTCCTACTGGCTTTATCATCTTTTTGGGTTCACAATCCCAAACATCTACTAATTAAATTAATTCTGTAAGCGGTGTAGTTTAGGTCAGTAGTAAACAGAACACACATTTGTCCGGAGGGGGACATGGTTGGACGCCGACAAATCTTAGACCAGGTTTCACCATTTTTAAACCAGTCTATCTATGTGTGCTGAACTTCTGCTGTTATCAGTATAGACTGATTTTGTGCGCCAAACTTTTGTTCTGTTACTGGTACAGACTGGTTTCCAATCACTTATACTGGTAAAAGCGTAGTGCCTATACCTGGCCAAAATGCTGGAGGCTGCAAGTGGGAAAGGAACAGTTGAAAAACCCTGGTCGTACCCAGTTCACTCTCCCTTTCAGCATCCACTCTTTGCAAGTGTGTGACACAGGAGTTTTTTCCACCTTCCTTCAACTTCCATACACAGTGCGACAGTGGCGATTCAGCACATAGACGGAGAGGGAGCAAAATATGACCTGTGGGCTGGATCTGACCCACCAGGCACTTTCATATGGCCTGCAATGCTCACCAACGAACTGTATCCTGCCCAGCCCTTCCGGCCATGGGGGTGAGAGCGAGGCACCCACATATATACCCCCATGCCAACATACTTTATTGCGCCTGTAATAGGGCCCTGCTCTGTTACTAGGGGTTTGGGGGAGTCCTAATAGCCCCACACCCCAGAAGTACTTCTGCACACCCACCCCAGACCTGGGAGAACTCACCGGAGGCTGAGGAACCAGGTCCTGGGACATAGCGAGTCCTGCAGCAAGGGAGCTGACAGGTATGGGGATTGAGAGAGGATTAGCCACATGAGGCCAGAGTGGGAAGGATAAAAGACACTGAAAGCAGCCTCAAGGGGCTGCCACCTGGCCAGGGAGCAGGCTGCCTGGGGTCTGGAGTTGTCAGGGGTTAAGCAGCCCCCAGGGGAGCCCAAAGCAGGGCTCTTCTCTGTTTGCTTGCTTGCTTGATCATTTGCTTTGCTGCACAAGCCTGCAGGCTCTGCAAAACCTCTGAAAGATAAGAGGCAGCCAGGGGGTGAAACCTAGAAGAACCACTGGAAGACAGATAAGTGCTAAGTTATTTGTTTAACTTTGTTTGTTTGTTTTGCATCTTAACAAACCTGGGGTGGCCACTAGCCTGGCTGCAGCAGAGGCAAGGGCCCTGAACAGTTGGTCCTTGGCCAAGGCCCGCAGCAAAAGTGAAACTGGTCAGCTCAACTAGCTTGGCCAAACAGAACCTGCTGTGATCTGTCTGCAGCGGCTTACAGCCTCTATATACAGCATGCAAACACAAATCCTGACAACAATATTTGTTGTAATACAATGTTATAGTAGGTGTTCGAGTTGTTTTTCAGGTTCTAAGATAGTAACCCTCCCTCCCCAAAAAGGAGTACTTCTGGTGGCAAAGGTCAGGGGCTGGACTTATGGTCCCAAGATAATGACCAGGGGTGGGTGGGGCAGCTGTCACAGGGCAGGGCTCCCAATGTAGCTCTCCAAAGCCTACCAAACGTGGTTAAGCAGCCCTCCAGCCGAAATAATTGCCCGCCCCGACACAGAACACGTTCAGGGCAGCTAACTTTGCACTTGTTACGCTGTGTGTAGGTGATGGTAGCAGATCATGTTCTCCAGGACACAGGTGACACGTAGAGGGGCACGTGCCCCCCACAGTGCTGCCGGTGGCACCTGCAGGTGCCAGCACCACCGCCGCCGCCATCTGCAGGTGACCCCCCCAGACTCAGGAGGCACCACTCGCCCACGTTCCAGAAAGACCTTTAGCACCCCGAGAGTCACCTTGTAAATGAGGCCGGAAACATGCTTCACACCAGGACGGCGAGGCAGGTCGACTTGGTGATGCCCTGGGTGTTGCTCCTGTGGCTCCTCCTGCCTCTTTTTCTCAGCCCCTTGCCTGCCTTACTGCAACCAGCGGAGACAGGGCAAGACCCACCTCTCTGGTCTGACCCAGTCACCCAACCGCAGCGCGCGCGCGCGCTCTCTCTCTTTCTCTCTCACTGGTTTTATGATCCAACCACCTACCCCCGGGCATGGCACTTACACAGTCCTTGCCCTGCGGCCTCCCTCCCCCAGGGGAAGGCGCCGGACGTTGTCTGCAGACAAGCCCCGCCCCCCTACGGGACGCCCGAAACCCGGGCCGGACAGTGCCAACAGGGCAGGCGCTGGTCCTGGAACGGGAAATAGTGACGTCACGGACTCCGCCCCGCCCCGCCCCGCGAGAGAAGCCACGCGCAGGCGGGACAAGCACCGCCCCCCCCAACCGCCGGGACAGAGCTGCGCGTGCGCCCCAGCAGTGTTGCCATAGCAACGGCGGGACTCGCTGGGGAAGTTCCGCTTCTGCCCTTTTTGCCCCGCCCCCCATCATGTGACCGCGCCCCGCCCCGCCGGCGCTGCCGTTAGCTTCCGGGAGCAGCCGGGTGGTAGGACAGCGGCGGCGGCATGTCCGGGAACGGCTTAGGCTACAACGAGCAGGGCGGGGAGGCGGCGCCGGCCGAGTTGGGCCAGGAGGCGGCGCCCACAGCAGCGCCCTCCGCCTCGGCGGCCTTCGGGCTCTTCAGCAGCGACACCAAGAAGTAAGGAGCGGCCGGGCCAGGGAGGGTCGCTGGGCCCTGGGCAGGTGCCTGCTGCATGATCCTCGTTGCTCCCTTTGCCCAAAGGGGGTGTTTGCGCGGGCGGGCGCACCCCGGGGACCGCTCGGCCTGTCTCCGCCGGGGCGCAGCCCTGTAGGAAGGCGCCAGCAGTGTCACGGGAGGGTCCTAGCCGCGCTGGTGAAGCAGAGGCTGAGCTCCTCCTTCCCCGCGAGCCTGAGCGGGGCCCCGGCAGGCCCCTGCCCCTCCCCAAGCAAAACGCCGGTGCAGCTCCAAACCGGCCACCCAGAACCAGGGAAACAGATGCTGTTGTTCGGTGGCAGGGGAGCGGTGGCTGACACGATGCGGACCGAGGTGGTTCAGGCCCCAAAGGCGTCCTTCAGCCCATAGGACACTCATTCCCACTGCAAGTGATAAGAAGGAACTGGAGCCGTGGGTGTATTTACACTAGAAAATGGATTGCTTGTTCTTTGATCCATCCTATGACACCATGCAAGTCTCTGCACTGGCCTCTGCTGGTAGGAGGCCACTTTATAATCAGGGGAGTCTGCAGTTATGCTGGCATTTCTGAAAGTTTCTGCAAGTAACGGGCCTCTATCGTTTGCTGTTCGAGTAGTGTTTCTGTTCCCTTGCCATCCCTTGCACACCTTCCAGCCATGGCTCTTGGTGACTGATCTCCTCTCTCCACATTATCAATTCTTAGACGTTTGTATCGGGCTGCACCCTTGCTCTCCTCCCCTTCCCTTTCTTCACTGAAGTGGTTCTCAACTTTTTTAGACTCGAGACACCCCCTCATTAGGCTGCTGGCATCCCTCGGAAAGTGCCAGCTCATAGTTCTCGTTCATTTTCTGGCGATGCGTTTCTGTTATTGCGAAGAACTCAGGAAAACCACAACAGGGCAGAATGGTTTTGGTGTTATGAATTCCTGTTTGAAATCTCTGGGCTTAACTTGTGAATTATGTTTGCATGTCCAAAAGTGCTCACCTTGTGGCATCCTTGACAGGATCTCAAGGCACTCCAGGAAGCCATGGCATCCTGGCTCAGAATTACTGCTTTAAGTCTGATCCTTCAGAGAAGATCTTGTAACATCAAATAAGGGTTTGTCTGCACGTTGAATGTTTTCACATTAACTCCATGGGTTAATGGTGACTCCGTAAGTCCTTGGTGGTATGTGGACTGAGGAGCAGTAGAGCTGACATAGTAAAAAACCTGGTTGCGAGAGATGTTTACAAGGCCTGGCATAGATGGGGACAGAAGTACATGCAGCCTCAAATGGTGTTTCCCAGCCTGATTGCTGCTGAGGACAAGTATATTGAACCATTCTGTGTATATGGTGGGAGGTACTATAGGCCCTCCATGTGTGTGGCTGGAAGACATGGAAATTCACCTGGCAGGCATGCATATATGTATATGTAGACAAGGGTTTCATAGGTTAAGTGTAAGCTGTTTTCATTCAGTGTTTGATACATCATCCAGAAAGTTGCTACCAGAAGCTGGGTCTTTTTGTTTGGTTTTTTTTCTTATTTGCTGTCTTATAGTTAGAAGAAGTCTCCAACCTTTGCTAGTCTATGGACAGCAAATTCTGAGAGAATACTTCATTCGTAGACTGTAGTAGTGATGTTTTCTGTTAATTTTCTCTGGCTGTAAGCAATCTTGTTGTGTCTCACAGGCAACACTTCTTATGAACCATGGGATGGGGAATCAATGGTATAGCCTTTGAGGGCAGAGTACACAGCTCCTCCATTTCTCCCATGTGGAGTGTCTGTAAAAATATTTAGGAGGAGAAAATGTGGCTTTTGTTGGTAAGCATGCCTCTACCAAAACCTAACTTAATCCATGATGTTTGGTCAAGCTATTAAAACCCCTGCTTGCTGAAATCATGTTAGAAGAGACTTTCCACTTCCTATTTCTGATGGAAGATGTTCCTCATATGCCAAACAGTGTAGTGATTACATATGTACTCCTGGTATCCATTTGTGATGGTGACCCAAAGGCTTTATTCTGAGAACTGAGCAGAAATTCCTCTCTAGAGCTTTAATGCAAGTCTTCTGAAACAGTCATTGCAATCCAGATTGAGCGTGTCTGTCTTCTCTTTTTAACTAAAGCTTTGAGCACTGAATGGTATAGGGATGAATAAAAATAACTTGACTTTTTTTTTTTTTTAATATGGACTTCATTGGGGAGGAGAAAGTTAGTTATTTGTCATGTGCCTTTGGATTTCTGTCAATTCTTCCTTGATTGACGGTTACAAATCTATATATACCAGTATGTCAGTAGGTAAATCTTGGATATTTCTATGGCTCTTGATATTGTAGCATTTGAATTCTTCATAATCCATGGTGGGGGGCCTAAGCCTAATTTGTCCTCAATGCTGCTAAAAAGTAGAGAGATCCTGTTGCTCTCATTTTACAGACAAGGAGTTGAGGCATAAAGAAAAAAAATATTTGCCTAAGATCACACAGGAATAATCTGATTGGCCAGGGAATTTAAATGTATCTTCTACTTGGTTAGTGCTTTTCTTCTGTGGTAGCTTTAGTTACCACTTGTCCTTTACATACAAAATAATGTGGAAGAGTTGTTCAAAAAAATACTATATGTATTTGTCCTATTTTTTGTAGAGTTGGATTAAGACTGCAAAGTGTTCTGCATAAGCTTGCCCTCTATATTCATCTCTAAACTAATAGTTTATTTTGTCCAAACGTGCGACACTTGTTCGTAGATTATGGAGCTGTCTTCAAACAGCCTGAAACAACTGCATAGAGAAGTGTTATCTGCCTCCCTTCATTTTGATGGTTTTGTTAGTGTATACTTCATATTTAAATATATAAATATACAAGCTTTTTCATTCACTTTTTTTCCCCCCTCTGTTTTATTTAGAGCATTTTGTAGATTGTGTTTGTCCCATAAACTGCCTGCTAAGTATCTTTGGTACCAAATGCCACATGAACTCCCAAACCACTAGCTCAACCTTTTTTTTTTTTTTTTTTTTTTTTTTTTTTTTTTTTTTTCCCCTCTAGCAATTTTATGATGGAATTGTAAACGGTCGATACAAAAATCTGATACAGACTGACTAATTTAATTGTTTTCAAAAGACATGCATATGATCAATATATTTGCAGTATAATTTCTATTAATTGAGAACTGGAAAAAGAATATATAGTTCACTGCTAGAACATGGCACAGTAACATTTGAGTCATGGTGGCAATGAAGAAACAACAAATCCTTAGTGTAGTTGAAGAAACGCATGATTGATCACTGGGGTGGTCTGCTAGTTTGATTTCCCAGTCTGTAGAAAATGGGACAGTAGTTCCATATGCATCCATCTACAGTTATCTTTGAGAACTTCAATCTGGTATGTATGCCGCAGCTATCATGCAGTTGGTATTAAAGCTTATTTGAAATCTTAAGCTATGAATTTTCTAGCACTCAGGCCTTAAACCCATCTCAGGATAATTCTATATTGAATCTCATTCTGATAATGATACAGTGATTACTGAACTGAAATTGATTGTTACCTTAGTACCAGTGAGCACAACCTGATTATATTCATCATGTGCAAATGATACATTTTCAACCAGTGGTATACACAAAATATTACTACGGTAAAATAAGTTAAGTTTTGAAGAGGCAATCGAAGTAGTAGATCAAGGATCATTTAATCACTTGAATGTTCACTACAAAAAAAATAGTGAGTTTTCTTTTACTATTGATTACTACTTTAAGGCCAACATTGTATAGAGAACATATATAAAATAACATTTACTAATATCTGTTTGCCTCCAGTAAAGATAATTTTTAAGCCAGGGTACTTAAGCAGGTATTTGTTATAATATAAAGGAAGCTAAGGGTTTAAATAGAAGAGATTGTTCTGATTGAAACTGGGACACAGTGTCCCTTTCTCACCTTTATCTGTATTGATTGAACCTTGACCAAAGAGGAGAAGAAAACAAACAATCTGTTCAGTATGCATTGCTTCTAACAAATCTTCTGATTATTTGAACCAACCCAACCATATCAAGAATGGAGGTGAATGGCAGGACTTGCTCATTGGAGGATAAAAAATGACACTATTAGAAAGAAAAGGCTTTGATTTCTAGATAATATTTTTAGAATGGAAAATGGCTTTATAGCTGAATATTAATGATGGAGGTTCTGATAACCAAAGTGAGCTGGTCTAGAAGGTGTTGAACTGAAGGCAGTCAAATAAGATCTACTTGAGTTATTTCC